GATTGCTGGAACCAGTTTTGGGTTTAAGTTGATTAGAAGCAGTAAAGGATCATGTCTGGTGCTGATAAACTCACCAATTAAGTGATGTGGAAGCAGGGAAAATTCCAGACAATGTTTGACCACTTGCAGGTTGAAGGAAATGGGGGCTATATTATTACTGAGTTGTTTTGCTTTGATTCTCTGGTTCCCCCCTCCTACAGCCTCATCATAAACTGTGTTTAACATAAAAGGAGGCTGCTCAGTTGTGTCTGTTTGAAGTCCACGAATATATATTGATTTGCTCTCTCTTAAAAATCTCTTTAGTTTTCCATCCTGTGCTTTTCGTGCTTCTCTCAGTAAGGTTGCCCTTTCTCTGCTAGACCTCAATTCTGACTGAGATTAAAGCGATCCGGAGGCCTCATTTGGCTTTAGCCCCCTACCGCTCCTTCGTGGGCCCGCAGGAATATTAACTAGGAAGGAGTCTGCTTGCAGGAAGGAGCCTTTGGAACAACTCTGCTCCAGTGTGTCTTTGCTTGTCCTTTGTATAGTTGAAAAATTTTGCCCCAAAGGAGAAGCCATGGCAGAAAGAGGATCGGGAGAATCAAAAACAAGCAGCCAAAGGGAATCACCAGTCTCTGCAAAAACAGAGTTTGAAATTCTATCTCCACAAAGCAGTTAATTTTCTTAATACAGGCCTGCGCAGTTACCAGTTTGAATGTTATAAGGTACACCTGTTGGGTCTGAGGTCTGCACTTAGTGTGTAAGTAGTTGTAAATCCTCCTCAGTTCCCATGTGCAGAATGCCCAGTTCAGATCACACTTATGGTATGGTCAGAAAAAGAACTTAAACCTCTCCCTCCCATGCACACCATTTAGGCTAGGGAAGTACCCAAATATACCTGGGAGGGCCCCTGTTCCACGCCTGCCATGATTCTATCCAAATCAAGCAGTGCGTATGTGGGAATTGAAGGGAACCCTCAAGCCACGTCTGACAGTGATACAGGGTGGGGAATCCAGACCCAACCTGTGTACTCCATAATGTATAAATGAACAAGCATAGTCCACTGGCCAAGAGTTGTGTTTCATCAGGTAATTTTTGCCAACCTAAGCTGCACTCTCACCCTCCAGAAATTTAGCAAGTCCCTTGTGGGCCAACATTCAGCGCTGATTTTTTAAAATTGCTTTCAGTCTTGTAATTAAACAGCTGGCCTGGTCATGAGCTTGGCTAAAGTGGAATCAGCTGCCCAGGGAGGTGGTCTTTAAGCCGCGGCTGGACAAACACTTGGCAGGGAGGCTCTAGGCTGATCCTGCATTGAGGAGGGGGTTGGACTAGATCAGGGGTGGCCAAACTTGCTTAACGTAAGAGCCACATAGAATAAACGCCAGATGTTCAGAGCCACAAGACATGAACAAATATTACATGTTTTTACTGGGAAATTTGCAGATTTGCTTTTTATTAACATTAAAGGAGACTGCCAAAAATAATAACAAAAGTGGTAAAAGCAGATACTGATAATGATATTTATTTGTCCAATGATATTTGTTTGCTAATGGTATTTAGCTTCCCCAGCTGCCCTGCCGAGAGCCGCACAATATGTGTAAAGAGCCGCATATGGCTCCCGAGCCACAGTTTGGCCACCCTTGGACTAGATGGCCTGTATGACCCAACTCTGTCATTCTAGGATTCCATGATCCTGGGGCTGAAGGCAGAGAGGCAACGCTTTTTGCCTCAAATATGCCACCCCTGAGTTCTTAACAGCAGAGGCAGTGACTGAGAGAATATTGCCTTGAAGATGGCATAACTGTGTATATTTCTACAGCAATATTTTTTGCTATCTTTTCCAAAATGATGCTGCACTTTCTCTAGCAAATCTTCTCCTCAGGTGCTGAGGGAAATCACCTCTAAGATGGAAGTCACCATATCCAGTGCATCCAGGTTCCTTGAGTGGATCTTATTAGGTGGTACCATGTTAGAGACATTTCTCTGGTACTCCTCCTTCAGGGACACCCGACTAGCAGCAAAACCTAAACAGAGTTATGCCATTCCAAGCCCACCAGCTTCAAAGGACTTAGAAGGGTATAACTCTGCTTAAGATAGTACTTGGCCAGTTTTGGGAAAGAAAAGATGGTGTTAAGGCCCAAATAACTCAAAGCAACAATGCAAATGTTTTCAGTCACGAAGCTAGCTATGTATGGATTTCTTTTTCCTTTCTACTTGATGAAGAATTCTGTGAAACAAACGCTTGTCTACCCCACATCCTCCCAAGGTAGTTCAACAAAACACATTACTTCACTCAGGGGTATTCCTGCAGCCTAATTATTGCAGTGTCGAGAAGCCAGTTCAAGAGAATGGCTGAATTTTGAAATGTTTATGATGATACATGGTAGGGCTCTTTTCTTATTTGATCCTTTGGGAAAGAATGTCAGGGTGTAAGGAGAGAAGCTCTGCAGCCATTGTACATATTCATAACAGAGTTTCTGTTAATTTTAATGAAAAAGAAATAAGAAAGATCAGTAAAGTCATATCTGAAAAATGCCCCCTATTAACTATTAACTTGTATTCTGCATCTTGATGGAAAAACATTCTTATAAACAACAATATATAAACAATATAAACATTACTAACATTCTTTTAAACTACAATAAGCAACATAGTGCCCTGTTCTTCCTTGCCTTATAATGAACAAAAACAACAGCAACATCAAAACATAATTCCATATGGGCAGCTATGTTAGTCTGTAGCAGCAAAATACTTAACAACTAGTTAAAAACATTCAAGCCTATTTTGGTTCCTCAAAAGACTAGAAACTGACAGCCCAATCCTGTGTGTTAAATAATTAACTGCCACTGAGATCAGTGGGGTTTACACCCAAGTGAGTGCGCACAAGATTGCAGTCTAAATGTTTTACATGTAAGGTGAAGTGCTCAGTGTACTGCAAGACCAGTCCTATCACACACAACACTTTCTGTGGTCTGATTGCAGAATCATAGATGGCATATTGATCATGTTCTTTGAATTCTGGTAACATGCAAACAAATCACTTTGCCAAGAGTTGGACAGGTCTCTCGCAGAGCTTTTGTCTGCCTGCTTGATAAGTGGCTGATTCTTCATGGACCCTCCTTTTGATTTCTTTGATGCTGTGTCCTCTTATGGCAAATTGCATTACCATTTCAGCAGTGAGTGGCATGGATGTTTTCTTGCTGTGCAGCTGCACTGTGCTATTTCTGAACAAAAAACAGGATGATCCTAAGCAGAGTTATACCCTTCTAGATCCAGTGGATTTAGAAGGATGTAACTGTTATGGCCAGCCAGGAAAATGGCACTTATTTTGTTGGTTTTCAATGAATATTTGGTTTGACCATTAGATTTTGCCTGCTGCTAAGATCTTATATGGGAGGGAAGGTAGCATGGTATAGCCTGATAACAAAGCAAGGTTAGTACTTGGAAGAGGGACCACCAAGGAAGACTCTGCAGAGGAAGGCAATGGCAAACCACCTCGGCTTCTCATTTGCTTTGAAAGCCTCTTGCTGGGGTCACCACAAATCGGCTGTGATTTGACTGCACTTTACACACACACAGAGGTATACTCTCAATTTATTTTTTGTCATGCTGTTTTGTGATTTCCAAATTCTGCCATCAGGACTTTACTGGATACCCGAGTGTTGTTAGAACAGCATAACAAAACCCCTGTAATTTCCTCATTCTCAATCCAGAGTGTATTTGTATACACTTTAATGGACCACTGGTGAGGAGATGACTAAGAGGTGATATGACAACCATCTTCAAGTACTTGATGGGCTGACATATAGGGGATGGTATGGAGTTGTTTTCTGTTGCCCCAGATGGTCAGACCAGAACCAACAGGTTGAAATTAAATCAGAAATGTTTTCAGCTAAACATTAGGAAGAACTTCCTGACAGTTAGAGCGGTTCCTCGGTGGAACAGGCTTCCTCGGGAGGTGGTGGGCTCTGGAGGTTTTCAAACAGAGGCTAGATGGCCATCTGACAGCAGTGCTGATTCTGTGAACTTAGGCAGATCATGAGAGGGAGGGCAGGAAGGGTTGCCTCAGTGCTTAGGTCTTGTGTCCCTTTCTTACATGCCCAGGAAAATGCTGATTGACACTTTGGAGCCAGAAAGCAATTTTTCTCCAGGCCAGTTTTGCCAGGGATCCTGGAGGTTTTTTGTCATCTTCTGGGCATGGAACAGCAGTCACTATGATCCCATGATTCTAACCCACTTGCAACTCTTTGCTTCATTTGCAATACCAGATCCCATTTGCCATGCTAAACGGCACTAAAACTGTGATCCTGTCTGCTTCCTTGAGAGTAAGTCCAATTTGAACATATCAGGATTTCTTAATAAACGAATCCTTTACCATCTTACTTAAGTAATTGTTCTAAAGTTCTTGGACTCCATGGAAAGGGAGTTTGTTTCTATGCCTGTGACCCAGTCAGATGCCTCTCGCTAGCTTTATGTATAAAAGGTAAGGTGTTAACCTTTTCTCTGGAGGTTTCAGGAAAAGCAAAATGCGTAGTGGGAATATTTTAGATCTGATAAATACTCCCTCTATGTAAGAGCTAGGAGGTGAGATCTGATGCCCCTAGTTATCTTCCTTAGTATTTTTTTATTCTGTGCTCAGAGATAGATACAGTGCACCCACCATATATTTTAATCTGCAAGTGGTAATCTGTGTCACAGAAACCTTCCATAATTGAGAATAATAGCATATTCCTGGCAGAGGATAGCTCTGAAGGCTATGATTTAGAAGTCCCCTGGGTTTAACACCAGAAAATGCCTTCTGCCATATCTTAACAGCCAGAGAAATAAATTTGTGCCTTCTTTTTTAACCTTTGCAGACGGTGCAAGCCTATCAATGGCATGAACACTTCTGCGGCAGCTTTTGCTGAGAGCCTGTTGTTTGGATAAGGAGAAAAAATCTTACCTCTTGAATGTGTCTCTGAGAAAACCATTGCTGTTTCAGACTACAGCTCAGCGTGGTCCGTGAGCGGGAGCAACCCACCATGAATAAATCACTTCTCTCCTTGACTGGAAACTATTCTATTCAGAATGTCTCAGAAGCGAGTTCCAGACTCTCGCACTTTGAGGATGAAGACTGCCATGTGCCCTTGGCAATGGTGTTCACCTTGGCCCTGGCTTATGGGGCTGTTATCCTCCTTGGCATTTCTGGAAACCTGGCCTTGATCATCATCATCTTAAAACAGAAGGAGATGCGCAATGTTACCAACATCCTCATAGTCAACCTTTCCTTCTCGGACCTCCTCATTACCATCATGTGTCTTCCCTTCACATTTGTATACACTTTAATGGACCACTGGGTTTTTGGGGAGGCCATGTGCAAGCTGAATCCTTTTGTGCAGTGTGTCTCCATCACAGTCTCCGTTTTTTCTTTGGTCCTCATTGCTGTTGAGCGCCATCAGCTGATTATCAACCCCCGTGGCTGGAGACCAAACAACAGACATGCCTACGTAGGAATTGCTGCCATCTGGATTCTTGCACTGGCCTCATCTTTGCCTTTCTTAGTATATCATGTACTCACTGATGATCCATTCACAAATATAACCATAGAGGAATACAAGGGCAAATACGTGTGCTTGGATTCATTTCCTTCAGAGAGTATCAGGCTGTCATACACCACAGCCCTCTTGATCATACAGTACTTCGGACCTCTTTGTTTTATATTTATTTGCTACTTAAAGGTAAGCGAGAATTTGTTTGGGATGTGTCTTCTCTGTCTGGTTTCTCTCTCTTTTCTTTCCAAAGAAAATATTGGTAGGTGACACAGTCCTAGGTCACACAGTTGTTCAATTTTTTTTGTTTCCCCACAGATATACATACGCCTAAAAAGAAGGAACAACATGATGGACAAGATGAGAGACAATAAATACCGATCCACTGAAACTAAAAGGATCAACATCATGCTTATGTCTATTGTGGTTGCATTTGCAGTCTGCTGGCTGCCTCTGACGGTCTTTAATACAGTCTTTGACTGGAATCACGAAATTCTACCGCGTGCAACTTGCAGCCATAACTTGTTGTTTTTAATCTGCCACCTCACAGCAATGATCTCGACCTGTGTGAACCCCATATTTTATGGGTTCCTCAACAAAAACTTCCAAAGGGACTTGCAGGTTTTATTTCGCTTCTGTGATTTTAATGTAAGGGATGATGATTACGAGACGATAGCCATGTCCACAATGCACACAGACATTTCCAAAACCTCGCTGAAGCAATCCAGCCCCATCGCCTTTAAAAAAATCAGTGACAATGACGATGAAAAAATATAATGGAACTGTGATTGAGTTCAAAGGACAAGCACAATCTTATAAAGAAGTGGATCTCTTTCTCTCTTTTCCTCTTATAAGAAACTATACAATTTACTGTCATATAGTTACTGGTTCTTTTCCTTTTTTTCTTTTTGTTGTTGGTAAAAACCAAAACAGTTTTATCTAATTTATAATATAAGAAAAGTTGGACCTCTTTCTGCTTGCAGTTTCCATCAAGTGTTTTTCGGTCTGTTGCCTTGCACATTGATACATTTCTACACTAAGATTTATTCTGTATTTATTTAAAAGGACACACTGTCGTTGGGGATGTTTAAATCCAACCAGGGGGAAAAAAGAATCTCTAATGCTTCACTAAAGCCTACAACATAAAGTCTCTCCTCGTACAGAATTAGGTCGGTGTTATCTGGCCAGCTGTTTTTGTGTTGGAAAAGTACTATATGCCAGGAGCAACAGATTGTCTAGAAGCACTATTCAGAAGCCTACAGATTAAACTAAAACAAATGGCTATGTACAGTTGAATTATTAAAAGGTATAAGTAATATAGGACATAGAACATCAGGATAAACTTAAAAAATAAGTGATGAATTCTGGACACAGTCCAGCTGAATTTCTGCACTAAAGGTGGAAGCCTGAGCATATTTCTAAGGGGGCGAATTGCACAATTCAGTGGAACTGATTTCTGAAATAAGCATGGTTATGATCACACTGCATGTTATGTGGATTTTAGTGAGATTGTTAACCACATGTTTAACAGTTTCCCATTTAATGTAATGGGAATTACGGTGCAATCTTAAATAGAATCACAGTCTTCTAGGCCAGTGGACTTCAGTGGACTTAGAAGGGTGTATCTTTGCTTAGGATTGCATTATTAGTGTGTAACTTTGTCTGACATAACCCTTTGAAACTAGTTATAGTACAGCAACTTTGCTGACAGAAGTATCCATAAACATACCTGATTGACTTTTAGGATAGAAACTAAGTACAGTTCAACTGCAGTGATCATATCACCACACTAAAGCTGAATGAGCATAAGACCAAAATATGATTGATTGTCAAGTAATACTCATCAGAGTCCTAATTTCTGAGGTCCAACATTTGACACAGTCGAGGCATGCTGGATAGTCAAAATGGCCCCAGAACCTGCATTGCATGACTAATATGACACATGACATGGCTGGATCATGTGACGCATCATGTCAGTTCAGTGTTGTAATCCTGCCAAGCCACAGTGGTGAGGCAAGGAGGTGGCAGCAGTTCTCGAACCCTTCCCGTGGCTGCCACTACTTTTTGGCAAGGGCGGTCATTGTCTCCTCGCCAGCCATTGTCTCCTTATGTAGAGTTTACGGTAGCTGCTGTGGTTGTCCAGACCACCCTTGTGAGGGAAAAGAGGCATGCCCATTGTAAAGACAGGTGTGAGCCCAGCAGCTGTTTCCTACCCTCCTCAGACTTGGCCCTCATCTTCAGACCCAAGTAGTGGTGAATACAACAGATTCATTCATGGGTTCCTCCCACCTCACTGCCAGCCAGTGTCATGCCGAGGCCCAGTGGCCCCGTCAAACATGTACTGGCCCCACTGCCTAGAGCAGCGGACCACCAGGAGGTTGTTTGGGAAGTTAAATTTCCAATCCATCCCTGGGATCAGTGCACAGGTTGAGCCTCAGCCTAATGGGCATATGGTTACAAAAGCGATAAGTCTTTGAATAAGACATGTTCCTGATGACCTGATATTGTTCATATCCATTCATTCACTAGCATAATTACATCATCAGGTCATGGACTATGTTCAGACTTCATAGTATACAAATGTATACTATGTATACTAATGCGGTAGCCAGCCCTAATGTAATGCGGTAGCCAGCCCTATCATATAGCTTCTAGTGCATCCATTAAGAATTTTAATTGAAGCCTAATTAAATTGTTTGTGGCTCCTTGTTATCCAGCAACTCTCGTTCATGCACAGAGGCTCCATTGTGCAAGTGGGGGGGGGGCCTGTCCCTTTCACATAAAATTCAGGCATGTTCCATGCATGCAATGGGAATGCCTACGCGGAGCATTTCCTAAATACTGAAATGAATGTGGCACCCCCTTCTCACATAATACTCTGTGCACACTTGGGGTCCTGCAGAGCCTTGACTTGCAGTGTGGAAGTCTACTGTACAGTCCTGTTTATAACAGTCTTGTATCTATTATATTAAAAGGCTTTCCAGCATTTGGTATCTCAAGTTACAAAACTAGATCCATCCTATATCACAGCTACTTTGCAGAAGCAAACCAGAGAGGCTTTGCTTCCATATAGCATTAGGCATCATATCAATGCCATTAAGAAAAGCTTCCATATAATTTTAGTGCCTGTCCATAAAATAAACACTTAGGACACACTGGCCAGCCCTGAGGCTTGTTTACACTGATTTCCTTTGTTTTCATTCACCCTGTTGTGTCAAAGGTGCTTAGTGCAAGAAACAACCAGCCTTCGTATTGGTAATGAATTTTATATACTGTAGATTTGCCAAGAATTAAGGTTATGGAGATGGAAATATTTAGCCTTTTCCCAGGGTTTTGAAAACTAAATTGTGCCTTGTGCAGTATTTTAAATAATGTGATACACAGTGTGTGGTAATAGTGTGCCCTTTATACTAACTTCAATTGAGGTATCACTTTATTTTTGGCATCTTTTCTTACTTTTTTTTTAAAGGCATCAAGACAATTACTGTACATAAAATGTATACAACTGTGCATGCTGGTTCAGCCCTACTTGTTTGAAACTTTGCTTTGTGGTAACCTAATCATTGTTAAGAACAGGGATGTTCATATATTTTTGCTCTCAACCCTGCATCCTGCCCAGTGTACCAAAGGCATTCATTCTGAACAATACGTAGTCTGGCTCTTCATATACTCAGTTCTAAAGTCCAAATAACAGTTTGGGCATGAGCCAGCCCAATGTGAACCCCACCCTTGGCAATTATATTCAGAAGTAAGACCCACCAATTCTAACAGGACTTACTTCCAAGCAAGTGTGCATAAAACTACAGCCTCACAATCATTTAAATTCTGTTAATTCGCAGTGCAATCCTAAACAGAGTTCCACCCTTCTAAGCCCACTGAGTGTAAATCTACTAAGGATTACGTTGTTAATTCTTCCTGTTGTGATCAATGGAGTTCAGAATGGTTTGCTTTCGACTAAATCTACTGTCACTGAAATGGGCAAAAGTATTTTCAGTGCAAGCATGCCGATCAATACTCAGTGTGGGCTAAATTTTTGTGAGATGATTGTGGTCGCACAATTTTGAACTGTTACACTACTTTGAAGGAGTTGCTATATTACTCATAAATTGTGGAAGCACCTACAGTAGGAAGGCATGCAACAGCTATAGCAATCTTCTTTTTTCTACTTGTCTAGTGTAGAACTGTTCTAGGAGGGACATCAATTTTATAGTCATTGAGACTATGTTAGCCTCCGAGGGAGAGGCACTGATTTGATAGACGGGATAGAGTAGCCTGCAAAACTGATATGTGCTGGAGTACCAGTAACCTTATTTCTCCTTGTAGAAGAAGTTCATGCGTTATGCCTGTGTTGGGGTATTCCATTGTAGAGCTTGGATGGATCCAATGAGCAATTTACAGTCATGGCCAGAGACTTGCTGTAGTCCAGTGGAACATTTTTAAGAACAGCTCACCTCCCCATCCGCTACTATAACACAGATTGTTTTTGACACTCTCCATTTCAGCAAGCTGTTTGCCATGGACTGTCAATGTGTGTCAGAATCCCGAGAGAAATTTTAAAAACTCTAAAGCTACCTTAGATTCATAGGCCTAGCTTCACATCCTTCCCCCCTCCAATTTTGGCTTGGTTTTTTTCCAGAAGCAATGTATATTAACATGGCAAAAAATGTTTGGATTGTGCTGCTTAAAATGGCACTGAGGAATTCTTTTAAGGGAACATGAGCTAGTGTCAGTACTTTTCCTGGAAAATTAGCAACATTGACTTGACTGCAACTAGACAAGATGGCAGCAGATGTGTGTGTTAGAACAACAAGTCTGTCACGTTCTTGTAAAGCTGGGCAGGGAATGAGATTTAGAGGGGACGAATGGCAGATGGGCGCTGAATCTTTCCCATGGCTTCCTTTTTGCCTCCCTGCATCTCATCCCTCAAGCCAAGCCCAGGCAAACCTGGCAAAATCCCAGGAGCCTCTTCTGTAGCTTGGGCGAGCAAAGCTACTGTTAAGATGCAGGTGGAGGTGGCTAAACTAAGCAGTGAGTTAGCTGGGTGATATTGCCTTCAATCCAGGATCTGTGGAGAAGAGCCTTCTGATCTCACAGTTATAAAGGGGGGGGGGTGATTCTGAAATAGAGTAAGATACTGGCCTATATCCAGTTCAATGCTCTTCAGACTTCAGAAGAGCAGGCTGCTATTTCCACTGATTTCCCCCTCCCACTTCAAACCACCACTTGCCCCCTATACTGTTCCTGAGGGTCTGCTGACCCCCAGAAACAAAACCGAGGGTGGGAGATTCAGTGAAGTTCATGTGGGAGGGGGATGCAGGAAGACTGCGCTCTGCAAAATCTGCAGATGGTAGGATAAAGTGCAATAGGATTACAGTCTGCTCTTGATCGTGTGATGTGCGGTTTCAGCAAACAAGTCGTAGTTGGCGGGTGGGATGGCTCAGAAACATTTTAATTCACCCGAGGAAGCAAGAAAGCTTGAGCCAGCTTGGTCCTGACTGTGTTTCTCTTGACCAGGCTCAGAGACTGTACATCCAGTTGGGGGAAACATGGCTGGGATACTAATTTTGAAGGATCAGTGTAGCAGCCTTCATCTACTTTATGTGGGTCTCTACCCACCCTCCTATATAGCTGTGTGGCAGACCTATATTCCAATACACTGGTCAGCTGCCATTTTAAGTAATCACATCCTCAACAGAAGAGGCTGTCTGGATGCAGTCTTAAGAGTTAATGCAATCAATAAGACAAATATCTTTAGTCCTCAGCCCTTGCAGGAGGGT